TGTTCGTTAGACGTTGCTATACTCAGCTCGACGAGCTCTATCGATTGGCTAACTCAGATTTTAATTTGGGGGTGTTCGTGGCTGTTCGTAGCTGTTCGTGGGTGTTCGCGTCTTTTAGCAATACCCTATATTTTATCATATACTTCGATTTTTGTTTAATCAGCATTTCGCAAAATACTTACCTGACTGAGACTGATTTGCAGAAGGCTGTTGGCTACGAGCAGGTCTTCTCATAGCATCAGAAACAGTTTCTCCAACCTTTTCTGTGACATAGGCACCACTTTTTGCTAAAACTACTGCAGCACAGCGTTTGGCAACGTGTTCCATAGCTTTTCTTTCGGCTATTGTCATAAACTCTCTTGCTGCTAATTTTCCGGCCACTTGAGCTGCACCCATACCTAGACGAACACTTGCAGTGGATAAAGTTCGAACGGCAGTGGATAAAGTTCCCAACGTCATTAAGTCTAAAGTCATAAAACCAGCTCCTTGTGCTATTTTGAGGGTTCCTTTCCAACCATTCCCTCTGTGCAATTCTTCGAAACCCTCGTTGATATCCATAAAAGGGCCAACAATCGGAACAAAACTTAACAAAGTTGAAGCTGATGGCATATTGTAAATCTGGAAGAAAATCAAAAACGAAAGACTTTTTGCCAAGTACTATTTTAAAAAAACAGACGATAAAAAACAGTTTGTCTCTGTCATCGTAGAAACGGCCGACTAATTTCAGACGTTAAAAGAAAAGGTTGCTTACTAATACTAGAATCCCTTTATAAGATATCCGGAAAAAGGTGTCTCAATAGTTTTTCTTCTTCTAGACCAGACGTATATGTCTGTTCTTCTATAGTTAACTGTACACTCTCTAACACGTGTCTGCGTTATGTCTGATCACAAGATGAAATCTCCAAAAATCGAATATTTTACAAGTCGTCGTACTAACAAAATAAGCACACAGTCAATAAGCAACATACAAAAATAGCCTGAAGTGTCTACTTTCAGAATACATATGATTTGATATCATCTTAATGGCTTTTGACAGGATTTTCAGAGGTTTTCTGGAGTCCTTCTGTACAAAAATTTTCCGCGGCTTGGGCGCTGTATCGGGTTTCTCACGAGTCCCAGGACGGGCACCTGGTGACTATTGGTAGCCTTGAAAACGTATGGACTATGGGTAATCAATCATGCTGAGTCTCGTGGCAACATTTGCTTTTAGAAAAAGTTCTTAGAAACTATCGAAAAATGAGTTTTACGAAAATTGGGGTTTTCAGGCTGTTTTCACTTAATATTTAAAAATTCACTGTTCGCTCAAAATACATCAGAACTAGTTCAAAACTTCAGGTCAATTCTGGCCGCTAAACGTGATTATAAGATCAAAAAATCGAAAAAGCATATTTTTGTTAATGGGTTTTCCAGAAAACCTTTCGAGAAAACCTTAGAGTGCTGTAAAATCTCTTTCTAGATATCCTGTGAACAGGATATAGAACGACCTAAATACTTTACACTCTGAAGTTTTGAACTAGTTCTGATGTATTTTGAGCGAACAGTGAATTTTTAAATATTAAGT